TCGAACTCCCGAGCTCCAGTGATCCTCCCACCCCAGTCTCTTGAGTAGCTGGGACTGCAGGCATATGCCACCACAACAAGCTAATTTTTAATTTTTTGTAGAGATGAGGTCTCACTATGTTGCCCAGGCTGGTCTTGAACTCCTGAACTCAAGAGACCCTCCTCCCTCAGCCTCCCAAAGTGCTGAGATTACAGCATGAGCCACCATGCCCAACAAGATATATTTTTCAAACACTAATCAAAGGAAAGTTAGAATAACTATTTTAACTTCAGACAAAGCAAACTTCAGAAAGGAAATTATTAGGAATAAAGAAGGCAATTACATAATGATAAAGGGGCCAACTGTCCAATAAGCCATAACAATCCTGTGTATGCACCTCACAACAGAGTGTCAAAATACATAAGGCAAAATCTGGTAAAACTGCAAGGAGAAATAGACACAAATAGACTATTGCTGTTGTGGTCTTCAATATTCCTCTGTTAGTAACTGGCAAATCGAACAAGCAGAAAATCAGTAAGAATGTAATAGAGTGAATAATACTATCGCCACCTGGGTTTAATTGATGGTTCTATCTCATTCAACTGCAGCAAAATACACGTTCTTCTCAACCTCGTATAGAACATTAACCTAGATACACTACATTTGCGGCCTTTCACATATGCCAGAACCTATAGAGCTACTATACAACATACAGAGTGCACTCTAATGTAAACGATGGAGTTTAGTTAATAATAATATACCAATACTGGTTCATCAACTGTGAGAAATGTACAACTCAAATGCAGATGTTACTAATAGGGGAACTGTGAGAGAGTAGAGATGGATTATATGGGAACTCTTCTCTTATCTGCTCAATTTTTTTCATAAATCTAAAACTGCTCTGAAAACAGTATGCGAAAGTATTATAATTTTAAGTTTGTGATTATTTTATGGCAGTTAAACTATTTTCTAAGCCTGGTGAAGGAAACCAGTCCCCTAAATGATCTCATCATATTTGCACATATATTTATATATTTAATATAGATCAACATATTAAATATTAAATATATTAATGCAGAATATCAATATATATTAAATATATATTTAAATACGATGAGATTAGTGATGGGGTTGGCTTACTTCACCAGGCTGAGAAATACATATATATATTTAGATATAATGAAGTAATTGATGGGGTTGATAGTTGATAATTGATGATATATATTTGCCCATTTATTTAAATGTATACTTAATTCATTTGACTATGTTTTTAGCCATTCACCAAATACATGATTACTTATAAAGTGAGAAATCTACTGTCAAGTGGCATTTTATTCTTGTCTATAGAATCAAAACCAATACCAATATTTTCCATATTTAATCTCTGAACACTTGTTTATCTTTTTATGATCTTTTAGGATGTTTAGATTTGGGAACTTTAAAAAAATCTAGGCTACTTAGTCTCCTTCCTCCAGTTGCTTAATGATCCTACAGACTGAATGTATCTGCTCCTCGTTTTGAGGATCTCTGTGTATAATGAGAAATGATGACTGGTGAAGGCAGAAAAAAAAACCTGCTGACTCGTTGGATAACATAATCAACCACTTTATTGTTTAAAATAACCCTTCCTCTGTTTTTTGGAAATGGAGAAGGAATCAATTTAACACATAATTTTCAAGTAGAATTTTATTATATCATAGAAGCAAACAAAAATTTCCAAGAATAATCTGAAATTAGGAAAAATGTGCCAGTTTACTAAGAAATAACGATGCTGTGTTGAAATGTTTCTCTCCTGATTCAAAGTATATTTTCCATGTAAAATGTTTTACAGTAAGAATACCCCAGGCTAGGCACAGTGGCTCACGCCTGTAATCCCAGCACTTTGGGAGGCCGAGGTGGGTAGATCACTTGAGGTCAGGAGTTCAAGATCAGCCTGACCAACATGGTGAAACCCCACGTCTACTAAAAATACAAAAAATTAGCCAGACGCGGTGGCGGCGCCTGTAAACCCAGCTACTCGGGAGGCTGAGGCAGGAGAATCACTTGAAACTGGGAGGTGAGCTGAGATTGAGCCACTGCACTCCAGCCTGGGTGACAAAGCGATACTCTGTCTCAAAAAAGAAAAAAAAAAAAAAAAAAAAAAAAAAAAAAAAATGCATACCCCAATAAATAATAAAAATATTATCTTTGTTGATTTTAAAAGGAGAGCTCACAAAAATTAAAGATTTATTCCTTGAAAAGTTTATAATTCTGTAATTATAATAAACTGAATCAAAGATAACTATAATAATCTATTGTGAGCTTAAGAAAACACTAGTATACTTACTTATATTTGTATTTATAATCTACTTAATTTCATAAAGTCTTTGAAGCAATATAGAATAAAAACAATAAAATAATAGGAACAAAGGGAAAAACCTAGGAAATTAAGAAAGTCAAGATGAAACAAAACAGAGCTTAGATGCCAAGAACACATAGTTACTATAGATGACTTTCAATTTTGGTCTGAGTTTCACAAGAGAAAAGGCAAACAGTGGGTTAGGTTAGCTTCCTATTTAACTGCTATTTTTGTGAGACAGTTCTTCAGGAAAGAAAAGGTTTTTCTAGTAGTAAATTTTAGAACTGGCTAAAGTGGCGGTAGATCTAAAGATAAAGATAAATCAAAAGATTTATCTCTGAGGCATTTTTGAAGGTACTATTACACTCTTATACTCTTAACACTGGTGTATTCATTTGACAAATTTCATGGAGTATCTACTGTAAACCAGACACTCTTTTAGACATTGGGAACAGACAAAAACCCCTGCACCAACTTAACTTACATCTAAGAAAGGGAAACCAGATAATAGATGACATATATGGTATATGAAATAGTGATATGTCCTAAGGAAAAAAAAAATTAAGGAGCCAGGAAGACTAGAGACTGTGTGCGTGTGTGTGTGTGTGTGTGAGAGTGTGTGTGTGGGTGTGTGAGAGTGTGTGTGTGTGTGTGTGAGAGTGTGTGTGTGGGTGTGTGAGAGTGTGTGTGTGGGTGTGTGAGAGTGTGTGTGTGTGTGTGTGAGAGTGTGTGTGTGGGTGTGTGAGAGTGTGTGTGTGTGTGTGTGAGAGTGTGTGTGTGGGTGTGTGGGTGTGAAGGTTGGGGGTACTGTGTGTGTGTGTGAGAGTGTGTGTGTGGGTGTGTGAGAGTGTGTGTGTGTGTGTGTGAGAGTGTGTGTGTGGGTGTGTGGGTGTGAAGGTTGGGGGTACTGCATTTTAGGAAAGGAAGTCCTCACTGAGAGGGAGACATTTGAGTGAAGGCCTGGAGGAGGGAGTGGGAGTTGGGAGTGTGTCCAGTACAGAGGCCCTGAGGCAGATTTGAGGAAGGGCAAAGAAGTCACTGTAGCTGAGGTTGAGGTGGTAAGAAGGAGAGGGGTAGAAAATGGAGTCAGAGAGATAATGGGGGATGGGAAGAATGTGAGGGGCCTCATGGGCCTTATGGACTTTGGATATTTCTCTGGGAGAAATGGCGAACCTCTGAAATGTTTTGATCACAGGAGCTGTATTAGTCATTTGTTACTGGGTAATAAATATAGCCATCCAAAATGTAGTGGCTTAAAAGAACACTAAACATGTATTATCTCTCATAGTTTCTGGGGATCAGTAATGTGGGAGCAGTTCAAGCAGGGCTTCCTACTCAGGGTTTCTCATCAAGTTGCAGTCAGAGCTGGGCTAGGGCTCTGGCCACCTGAAAAGGTGGTTGAGTCGAGAGGATCCACGTCCCAGGTGGTTTACTCACATGACTGACAAATTGGCTGTAGTTGATGTTGGGAGATCTCAGGCCTTCTTGACATGGGCCTCACCACAGGACTGCTTGTCTCATGGAATGTTACTGCCTTTCCACAGAGTGAGAAATCCAAGAAGGGGGCAGTGTCCTTGTCCTCTGTGACTTAGCATCTGAAGTCACACATCATCCCTTCTGCAGTGTTCTATTAGTCACACGGTTCATCCCTGATTTAGAGTGTAAGCAGATTGCATTATGGTGTGGATACCAGGAGGGTGGGGATCACTGGGAGCCATCCTGGAAGTTGACTCAGGCAGAAGAAAGGAGATAATTACTGGAACAATGTCTCCTCATAGGCATGAGTACATAGAATTTAGTGCAAAAGGAGAGGAAATAGCCTTTGTTAGGGACACAGAGGAGCATTTGATAGTAACAGTATAGAGGTGCAGTTAGAGGAAGGTAGGAAGATCTTATGGTAGGAGCTTGTGCACATTCTCGTCTAATTTTTTCTCTGTTTCTCAGTGAAATAGGAAACAAGGTCTTAGGTCAAGAGTGAGGATTGGGAAGAAGGTGTTTGCTAGACATTCATCAGTATTTCAAGTTTTTCAGTATCTTTTAAGTGATGCAGTGCTCATTGCCACTAACCCTTGTTTGGTCATATTATAAAGGAGGAAAAAAAGTTCTATTTTTTGATCATTGTTCTATTGTAAGAAGCACAGCCCGAGCTTTAGTAAAGTGAAAAAGCCCCAACTCTGTGTATATATATATTTTTCATTTTAAGGACAGTAATTTTTTCTTTTTGATTTCAATAACTTTCTATGTTTACAGCATAGAAAGTTTTACGCTATAAGCATCTTTTGGTGCAATTAGACAACTTTGTTACTTCTGCTGATAGAATAGAGTAAAATACAGATAATAACATTTGCTTAAAGGAGACATTTAAAAAATAAGACATGGTTTGTCTTAGCCCGATCAGCCTAAAACCACCAGGGACAACCTGTAAACAAACCAATCGAGTTTACTGACTCATTGCAGTGTGGGGACTGCACAACAGAGCAACTGTGAGGTATCTCAGCAAACAAAGGAAAATATAGAGTTAACATAGGATTTTGCTGAAGAGTGGAATTTAGGTGTGATGTAAATGAGGTGATGTTCTATGGGCTCTAAGCAAGTATGGTTGTGTATAAAAGGGGTCAACCTCAGCTCTGTACTGTGAAATGGACCTATGGTCCTTGTCTTAGTCCATTTTGTGTTGCTATAAAGGAATATTTGAGGCTGGGCAATCTCTAAGGAAAAGAGGTTTATTTGGCTCTCTGTTCTGCAGGCTGTACAAGAAGCATGGCACCAGTATCTGCTCCTGGCGAGAGGCTCAGGCTGCTTCCACTCATGGTAGAAGGTGAGGGGAGGTGTTGTGTGCGGAGATCATATGGTGAGAGAGGAAGCAACGAGGGAGGAGGGAGGTTCCAAGCTCTGTTTAACAACCAGCTCTCTTGAGAACGAATGAAGTAAGAACTCACTCACTGCTCCCTACCCCAGGGAGGGCATTAATCTATTCATGAGGCATCCACCCTGATAACCCAAATACCTCTCGTTAGGCTCCACCTCCAACACATTGGTTTGGGGGAGACAAACATTCAAACCATAGCAGTCCTGTTTTCTTGGAAATGAAGTTAAAAAAGATGTCAAATGTTGTGTCCTGAGACCCATTCTTTGAAGCTTTGCACAGGGGCTGTAAATCAAGGCTTCACTGATCACAATGACTTAACTCCTCCAGATAAGAGTGAGATATTTCATTCTTATTGCAATAATTTTAAACAGCAATGCATCTGATAGTCTATGATTTCAGAGAATAAAATTTCTCAGTAAGTAAGCAGTAGTCCCTCTAAGAACTGGGTTTTTAGGGCATTTTATGACTGCAATATGTATTTGGGAAAAATATTGTTTTCTGATAAATTTGCACCTAGCTTAATGGGCAGCTCTGGTTCTAGACTCACGAATGTCAGGGACATTGCTTTCTTGGTCCAGGTAATTTTCTCAGACTATAGTCCATAACTTACTATGATTCTAAACATTGATGAATAAGTCACTGTCACTTCCTAGGTAATCTGAGTCAAGACATACAAAGAGTTTGTATTTCATATTTTAAATTTATAATACAAGGTGGTTGGAAGAAGTCTTCAACAGAATATGTATATAGAACTAGACAGTTTTTAAATGTTAGTGACTAAATTACAGTGCCTCCCACAGCATATTTACTGGAACTTAGCATCCAAGTGTCCCACAATTAGGTTTGTCAGTTTCCAACAGGGAGCCTCAAGGTGCTCAGACTCCAACTGTGGCATCTTCAAAGCTTTTCTTTCTGGTTCTAGCTTGCTCTAGCTAGCAACCACTATCATCAAAGCTGTCTGAGGAAGACCTCCTGTTGCTGCGACTGACGGGACTCTTGGTGGAAGCCCTATTCCTATGTGCCCATGGCTGCAGCTCCCCAAGGGAGCAGGACATTGTTGGATTCTCTAAGAAGCTCGGAGGAAGTCACTTCTCACTGTGGTGCCATATGGGACTTGAAGTCGTTCTACTCATGCTCTGTTTTTCAGTAAAGCTGCTTTTGCCTCTGTCTTCTGTGCCATGTCTCCTGCAATGAATTCCCAAAACTTAAAGCAAACAAAACCAAAACCCAAAGCAAAAAAGAAATAAATAAATAAATAAATAAATAAATAAACCGAACAAATCAACTAATTAAAAAAAAAAAAAAGAAGAAGAAGAAATGAAGTCAACATTCTTTGAGATCCAGCTCTGATTCTACCTTACACAATGATCAAACCACAACACTTTACTTCAGCCCACAGGTCACCACAATTTTGTCAAAAACAAAAGTGCGTTGAGATTGTATAGTTAAAGACCTCATCTGCTGATTTTCTTAAAAAGAAAACAGGAAACAGCCTGTCCAGGTAATTCAAAATCTCTGTCTTAGAGACCAAAAACTGCTCATAGGGTTACATTTAAATAAAAGTTTCTACTTGATTTTACTCATCAACAATTTTAAAACTCTTGAGTCCAATCTTAGCCAGGACATCCTTTTGCATAAGTAATCTTACAAATCTTACAAATGGCCCCCCTCTCCCCCAGTGAATGCACATGGTCGTTTCTACCTTGCTTGTTGACACAGCTGTGTGATTTTCTTAAGCAGTGTTCCCCAGTCAGTAGATTCACAGGGTGAGAGTTGGCATAATACCTGTGATGAAAAGACAGAGGAGAAAGCTCATTGAAGGTGCTGATGAGAGTATCATTGATGAGATTCATCAAGGGCCCTAATAGGGCTGGAGAAATAAGTAAGAAAAAAAGAAGGTACTGATGGAAAAGGCTTCTAAAGAAAGACTTCTCAATGATATATAATAACACTAACCATAACTACTAATAATTATTGAGCCTTTATTTGGGAAGGCACTGCAAAAAGAGCCTTATCTGCATTATCTTGTTCAATTCTTAGAACAGCTTGCTGAGTTACATACTATTATTTCCTCCATTTTATGAATGAGGATTCTGAATCTCAAAGAGTAACTTCCTCAGATCCATGTGGCTAAAAAGTGGTACTGCTAGTTCTTAAACCAAATTTTCTCTGGTTTCAGTGCTTGTGTTATTAGTTCTTAATATGCTTTCCAAAATATTGTGAGATATGCACCTTATTCTGAAACTTCTAATGAGATCTGAAATACACATGCAAATAATTATCTACAGAAGGTGAAAACTGTAATGTGTCTTTTTACACACACTTTCAAAAACTATCTAAGCCTGCTTCCTCCACTACCCCTTCGCTCTCTCTCTCTCTCCCTCTCTCTTTTTTGTTTCTAGCTCCTGAGTCCTCTCATTTTGACTCTCTTCCCATTATTCTTCCACTTTTCAGGTGGATGACCCATTTTCAAACTTATCCTGATTTTTACCTTTAGGATTTTACCTGGATATTATTCAATTTCATGAACTAAAATCACCAGTAAGATACAGCTTAACAATTGCCAAATATTAACAATTGTAAGAAAAAATCAGATATGCTTGAAAAAATTATCAAGCATAAGCTATGAATTGATATGGGAAGTTTACTAGTGAAAACATAATAAAAATTTGACCCACATGAGGGTCAAAGATTTAACACAGGTAACACATCCAACATGAGGATAAAATGTAGTTTTATTAGTTTTGTCATAGTTGATTTGTTCTTTCTCTACATCTGCTGGTAAGAAGAAAAAATATTAACTTTGATTTAAAGCTTAGTTTGAACTGTTAATTTAGGCAGAAGCTTTATCAAAAGTCTGCCTTGGCAAAAAGTAAAACACAAACAATGCTCAGTTATTACACAGCCCTCCAACGCCCGAGTTCTCTCCCTCAGGTGGTGTCCCTGTGTCTGAGGGAAGGGTTGGGGCTTACAGAACATTATGAACATAGATGAATCAGAGTCCTAAGATGTTAGATGCTGTGTCTCATAAATACTCTAGTTTCCAGGACAATGACCCATCTAATTTCTGCCTTGTCTGCTGGCATTTGTGGCTAAAGTGTAACTCTCGCCTTTTGCTCTTATTACTGCATAGAAACTGTCAAAATCACCAATGGCAGCCAGTTTGCTAAATCCAATGGTTAATTCTCTGTCATTATTTGTGTCACTCTTCAGCAGCATCTGTCACAATTGATTTTTCCCTTCTCTTTCATGTTTTGCATTCACATGGCTGCTAGAACACCATATTATCTTGGTTATTCTCCTTTACTCTCAAAGCTTCTTCATTAGTCTCCTTGGGTGGCTCTTCCTTTTATTCCTAACCTTTTAATTTTGGAGTTCCCAGATCACTCTTCTGAAATCCAGTCCCATATATCTAATCTCTTACTCAGTATCTCCACTTGGATGTCTGAGAGACAACTCGAACTTACTCCAAACCTGCCTTAGACGTATCTTCCCTTTTTCAGTTGCAATACTACAGGTTCTCAGACCAAAAATCTTGGGGTCCTTAGGCTCTGCTAGTCCATAGCTTTGTCTATTCCCTCATAGGGGAGAAACATAGATGAGGATTTTTTTTTCTCCTAAGGTCTTGCCTCTGTGATTCACAACCCGTTCTCTTAATTGACAATGTCCACTGTATTACAGGGCATAATCATTTCACGTGTGCAAAGTTGTTTTGAAAACTAGAGACCTAGGTAAATTTGGGGTAAAGCCATATACGGAATTTGAAATTTATAATCTGAAATAATCTCTTTGATCAAAATCAGCCAAATGCATAAATTGTCTCTTGCAGGCTTGAGTAATAATTTCAACTGGTCACATTTCCTTGACCTCCTTTTGACCCTCCAGGGGTCTCAAATTCAACATGTTTAAAATACCATCTTTCCTACAAGAGGCTCTTATAGCTATATTTGCCTTTCTTCTGGAAATAGAACCTCTGTTCTTAGAATAGTTTCTCTTCCTGGTCTAATTTTACAGCTTCCATGAGCATTGCCATTTTCTTACATGAGCCCACCACCCCGGCTCCCATTTGATTGGTTCAGGAATGTCAACCTGGCCCAAGCTAAGCCAATCATAGTATTTTAAGACCCTAGTTACAATTGGTCGATCCATTATGCGACATAAGGTGGGTCAGTTACAATCCTTCCTTAGAATATTTGAACTTGGAAGCACAGAAAATGAAAGGCAGTTCCCTTCAGAGATGAAACCTATCAGAAGTAAAACTTGGCATTTGTTTATAATCACATTTGCAACTACAAGAAGGAGAAGAGTCTGCAGTGAGAAAGAATAAAACTGACATCCAGAGAGAGGTACAAATGAAAGGTAGAGAACTAGATTCTGGTGATGTTCCAGTGGCTAGATCTAGTTTTTCCTGGGGCCCAATAGGCTATCCTTTCAACAGGTATTAATGAAGAATCTTGTACTTTATATTATGGATACCCTTGCTAACTATACTAAGAAGGAAAAAAGTATTCATTTTCTTATCTAATTGGGAAGGACATCGAAGTAGCTAACATAATCAAATAGCTGCAGTAACCAGGTCTCTATTTATGCTTCTGGCACTTCAGGACTGCTAGCTTTCTCTTTTTATATATCTCCCATTTCTGCTTATTTTAGCTTTTGCATCAGTCTCAACTGGACTTCATGCAGTTATGTTTTTTCTAGGGCACTGAGGAAGATGGCTGCAAGCTGCTCCAGTGTCTTTTCATCCCTCCTAAACGATGACCCCAAAGACAAACACTCTAGGGGAAGTCTAATGAAGCCTCCTGATTGGTGTAGCTTAGGTGTCATGACCGCCTTCGAACCAATCACTCTGGCTAGACCCAGCTCATATGCTACTTCTGTGTCTGTGGATAGGTCAGAGTCAGATAGAGCTTTGCAGAAAACATGGGGGAGGAGGATACAGTTACTATAAAGCATATTATAATACATTCTGAGAAGACAACACTATAGCTACCACAGTCCACTATACCATTGTTTGTTGGTTTAATTCTTTCTTGGATTCAGTGCAGCAATAAAAGCCATTTTTTGCTAAGGCAGCTGGGTTTTCTCTCATTTGCAATCAAGAGTCCTGATGAACATACATTTTCCCATTTCTCTTTTTCTTCTTACATTCCTATCTCCCTGAATGACACTGCTTACTGAATCATTCTAGTTAAAAATATGGGAATCCTCCTCAAGTTTTCTCTATCTTTCACTTTCCACAGTCAAAAATGGGGGAATTATTCTTAATTTCTGCCTATTCCTTCTATATTAATAGATATCCATATCCAGATATCCTGCTATGTCAGTTCTAACTCTAAAATAGCTCTATAATCAGCCTCACTATTCCATTCCTATTGGCACAGCCATTGTTCACACCCTCATCATCTTTTGCATGATGTGCCCCTTAATTAGTTCACTTACTTTCAGTCTTGCTTATTTGCATTCTATCTTCCACACTACTGCAAAAGTAAATCATCATGTTATTTCCCTGAATGGTATTTTATCTTGACATCCATTGCCTTTAGAATAAACCTAAAAAATTTCTTGGTGATGTGTACAGGACCCTTTCTGAATTTTTGTTAAGCATGCTTAACTTCTCTCTTGGTGTTTAGGTCTCAGCATCAGTTCTCACCTATGTATCCCACCTATGTATGTCACTGCTGTGTCATCTTCATCCCATTCTTATCAGTCAGTGCTGTTCTGACCCTAAACTCTACTCTCATCATTAGGTGTCCTTTATTTGCTCTTGGGACTCCTTGATATCCTGAATCCTTCTGCCTTTGGTACTTACCAGGTTCCCAAACCTTATATTATACATAAATCACTTATGGAGCTTTTCCTTGACCTATCCTGGACACACTGCATTGGAAACATTTTAAAAATTTCCTCCTGGATCAGGTGTTTTGTAGGAGCAGTCATTTAGTAAACACTTGAGTGTTTCTGCTACTGCCTGATATTGGAGTTCTCAAATGCTTCCTTTCATCACTGATTGGAGCAATAAAATTCATTTTTGCACCTTTACCTACTTCTGAGACTTCTTCTGATTGGTTGACCTGACTTTAAAATCTCTTCAGATTCCATTATAGTCTTCTCTGCTCCCTACCCTCATGACATTAATGCAGAATCGGCTATTTCAATCATTTCGC